CCCGCAGACCTACACAGTGGGTTCTCTACCTGGGCTCATCTCACACTGGGGCCCAACCTGACCCCTCTAAGGTGTCCTTGAACCAAAGGAGGAGTCAGAGGATCTGAGGCCTTCAGCAAGTTCAATCTGTTCCTTTTACAGATGGAGAAACTGAGGCCCAGAGAGAGAAGGCAATTCATCTAAGGTCACACAGGAAAGTCAATTGTACTAAGTGGAACAGGGGTCCTTTTTTTTTTTTTGGGTCAGTCCTGGGGCTTGAACTCAGGGCTTGAGTGCTGTCCCTGAGTTTTTCAGTTCAAGCGAACTCTCTACCACTTGAGCCACAGCACCACTTCTGGTTTTCTGGTGGTTAATTGGAGATAAGAGTCTCAAGGACTTTCCTGCCCGGGCTGTTTTCTAGTGCTTTACCACTTGAACAACGGCTCTGCTCTGACTTCTTGGTGATTAATTGGAGATAAAATTCTCATGGGCTTTCTTGCCTAGGCTGGCTTGGAAACATGATCCTCAGATCTCAGCCTCCTGTAGCAGGGTCACAGGCCACTGGCACCCAGCTGTGAGAGACCCTCTTTTTCTCTTGCATTCGCTCCTTCTGTCTTGTCCTTCCCTCTCCCTGCACCCAGTGTTGTCCAAGTGTCCCCTTGGGCCAGCCAGCCAGCCCCTTGTGCTCTCTGCCTGAGAACTTCAGGCCCCCAATAATGATGCGCCTCCTCAGACCTCCAAAGCTGCCTGTCCCTCCTCCCCACACCATGCTCCTGACACAAACTGCTACACATTGAAAAACAACACACTGTACAGATTGGTCCTCTATTCTAATCAGAGTAATTTTTTGAATTTGAACTTGAGGCGCTCTACCAGTTGAGCTCTACAGCTCCACTTCCAACTTTTTGGTGGTTCATTGGAGATAACCTCCAATGAACCTCCAGGCTGGTTTTGAACCACAGATCGCAGCCTCTTTCTGAGTAGCTAGCATTAGAGGCGTGAACCACTGGTGCCTGGCAAGATATCCAGCTAAAACTGTGTTTTGTGAAGATCCTGGGTGATTCCATTTGCATCAGGGTTTGAGATCAGTTTCAGTCCTGATTAATGACACATCCACCTTCGGTTGCCTGTCCCCGGGGGCAGCAGCTGGCCTGGTATTCATCCCTCCCCCAGATTTATTTTCTAGACTGCCAGGTCTGGGCCTCTGGACCTTGGCTGAGCAATTGTGTCTCCCTTCTGCTTCTGCCCTTTGCCCAGCCTCAGGCCTCCTGCCTGACTGGACTGCCTGACTGACATGAAGCACCAACACTAGCTGTTTCATAAATATTTACTGTTGATGATGGCAATGACCTTGATGCTGATGAGCAGCCTGGCCAGGAGGATGCTTCATGTGGAGGAAAGAAGTGCTGGAGACAGGCTGATTCTAGTGCCAGTAAGTTCTTATGGGACCTGACTTTCCATGTGCTCATGTGGGAAGCATTGTGCAATTTGATTATAGTTCAAGAAGCCAGCCCCTCAAGCCTGTTGCCATGGGAGAAGCCTGCTCTTGCCCTGATGGTGTGGAGCACAGAGAGTCATTCCCCCCTCCCCAACCCCAGCCTGGCTTACCACATCAACTCCTATTTCTTTTTTGTTTTGTTTTGGTGCTTGTCCTGGAGCTTAAAACTCATGGCCTGAGTACTGTCCCTGAGCTTCTTTGCTCAAAGCTAGTGCTCTACCACTTAAGTCACAACTCCACTTCTGGCTTTTTGGTGGTTGATTGGAGATAGGAGTCTCCAGCTTTCCTGTCTGGGCTTGCTTCTGAGTGTGATCCTCAGATCTCGGCCTCCTGAGCAGTTAGAATGACAGGTGTGAGCTACCAGCAACCTAGCTTAGCTTTCTTTTCTTTCTTTCTTTCTTTTTTAACATTTACTTTATTGTTATTATAGAGGTGATGTATAGAGGAGTTATATGTACATGAGTCAGGTAATAAGTACATTTCCTTTTGTACAGTGTCATCTGTTCCCTCAGCTTGGCTTTCTTATTCAACTGGCATTCTATAACTTGAGCCCCACCTCCAATCCTGCTTTTTTCTTTTCTTTTTTCCCTGTTGATGGGAGTCTTGAGGACTTTTCTGAGTAGGGCTGGTCTTGAGTTATAACCCTTTACATCTCAGCCTCTGAGTGGTTAGAATTACAGGTATAAGCCACTAATGCCTGGGAAGTGTATCTGAAGTCAGGCAGTGAGTGTGGGGAAAAAAAAAGATCTCCTCCATATAATGAGGGAATAATCTAAATTTTGTTGTGTTAAGTGTGGGCTTGTAGCTCCCTTAGAAACCTTGCCCGGCCTCTCACGTGCAAGGCTCTGGGTTTGAGCTCTAGCACTGCCAAGGAAACAAAGCAAAGCGAAACAGAGTGTCAGTTGTTGGAGATGGGGTAGGACTCAAGTGGTAGAGCTCTTGCCTAGTAAGCACAAGGCCCAGTTCAAATTCCAGTACTGCCAAAAATAAATGTCCATTGTGATGCTGGGATGTTGATTTTTTTTAATGCTTTATAGAGGCATAGTTTGCATACCATAAAATTCACCTCTGTGAAATATGCAACGAATGTGTGGGTGGCTCGTGCCTGTAACCCTAGCTACCCAGAAGGCTGAAGATCTGAAGATAGAGGTTCAAAGCCAGCCTCAACAGAAAACTGAGAGAGATACTCTCCAAAATAATCAGCAAAGTTGGACTGGGGGCATGGTTCAAGTGGTAGAGCATGAGCTGTGAAAAAGCCAACCCTGTTAGCTCAAGACCCAGAGTTTAAACTCCAGTATCAGCACTTAGACTTGTGAAAGCATCATCACATTAGGACCTTCAATCATCCTATAAATATCCTCGTAAGCCAAGTGCCAGTGTCTCACGCCTGTAACCCTAGCTACTCAAGAAACTAAGAGCTGAGGATTACAGTTCAAAGCCAGAATGGGCCGGAAGGTCTGTGAGACTCTTATCTCCAATTAACCACCAGAAAACTGGAAGTAGAGCTGTGGTTTAAAGTGGTAGAGAGCTAGCTTTGAGCAGTAAAGCTCAGGGACAGTGCCTAGGCCCTGCATTCAAGCCCCATGACCAACAAAATAAATAAACACACAAACAAATGAATGAATGAATGAATGAAATCCTATAATATGGTTTTGTTGTTGTTGTTTTTGCTGGTCTGGGGCTTGAACTCTGGGCCTGGGTTCTGTCCCCGAGCAACTTTTGCTCAAGGCTAGTACACTACTACTTGAGCCACAGTGCCACTTCTGGCTTTTTTCTATGGTTAATTGAAGCTTAAGAGCCTCACAAGCTAGCTTTGAACCTCAGTCCTCAGAACTCAGCCTCCTGAGTAGCTAGGATTATAGGGTGAGGCACAAGCACCCAGCTAAACTATATTTTTTGCACTTGGACAATTTTCATTAGCATCATATTCCTGATATAGCCTGTCACAGAACAAAATTCTATTAACTCCAGTTACCACTTTTTAAAAAAAATCTGTCAGTGGAGGATATTTGGCCTGCTCCTACTTTTGGACTATGTGCCTTGAATACTGTTGCTCTGCCCATTGCTGTACAAGGCTGTGTGGGCATTTGTTTTAAGTTCCTGTGGGTAAATTTCTGGAAGTGGAATTGGTGAGTTGCTTGGCAACTCAACTTTTTGAGGAACAGAATTGTTTTGGTTATTTGGGTCCCTGGCATTTTTGTATAAATTGTAGCATTATCTTGTCAACTTCTGTAAAAAAAAAAAAGTCCATCGAGAATTTGGAAATAAGTTTATCTGTAGAGCTATAGTTACATTTTTGTAGATTTTTTTGTACAAGCTTTGAACTGCTTTTGTTAAACATGCCTTAGTATTTCTTTTTTTTTTTTCCTTTTTGCCAGTCCTGGCACTTGAACTCAAGACCTGAGCACTGTCCCTGAGCTTATTTTGCTTAAGGCTATCACTCTACCACTTGAACCACCACTGGCCTTTTCTGTTTATGTGGTACTGATGAATCAAACCCAGGACTTCATAACATGTTAGGCCAACACTCTACTACTAAGCCACCTTCCCAGCCCCTACCTTAGTATTTCTTTGTAATATAATACTGAAGGAAATACTAATTATAATTCACAGCATTTAATATTTTATTTTTGGCCAAGTGTTGGTGGCTCATACCTGTAATTCTAGCTAGCTACTCAAGAGGCTGAGATCTGAGGATCACGGTTCAAAACCAACCTGGGCAGGAAAGTCCTTGAGATTCTTATCTACAATTAACCACCAGAAAACCAGAAGTGGTGCGGTGGCTCAGGTGGTACAGTGCTTGAGCTAAAGAGCTGAGGGACAGCGCCCAGGCCCAGAGTTCAAGCCACGACAGACTGACACACACATGAAATGCATTATGGGGAAAATGACTCCTCTTGGCATAAAATATGTTTAAGGGGAAAATGCCCCTTGGGATGAGCACCTTTCTTGTGGGAGTATGTGGCAAAATTCATCTGTGGCTTAAAAGATGCTTAGATACTGACAACCCAAGTTTTATGAATAGGTAAGTCAATCTTGAAGACTCTGAGCCCTAATAAAATAAAGTAATAAAATAAAACAGTGTAACAGCAAGAGTGATTAAATGTCCCAGGTGTGAGAACAAAAGGGATCATTTACTCTAAGGTGAATCATTTTTGTTTTGTTTTGTTTTTGTTTTTTGTCAGTCGTGGGGCTTGAACTCTGGGCCTGGGCTCTGTCCCTCAGCTCTTCAGCTCAAAGCAAGCGCTCTACCACTTGAGCCACAGTGCCACTTCCTCTAAGGTGAATCTTGAGCCATACTTTCTCACCATTGATATCTGTGCTTCTACGCCATTATTACACCTGTTATCAGCTGTGCCTGCACCACGTCTACATGATGTAATAGCTCTTTTTCCTTTTTCACTATTAGACTCCCTCACTCTCTGCTTGTGGTGTCCCCATATTCTTTTTTTTTTTTTTTTTTTTTGTCGGTCATGGGGCTTGAACTCTGGGCCTGGTTGCTGTCCCTCAGATCTTCAGCTCAAGGCAAGCGCTCTACCTCTTAAGCCACAGCACCACTTCCAGTTTTCTGGTGGCTTATTGGAGATAAGAGTTTCACAGACTTTCCTGCCATGGCTGGCTTTGAACGGTGATCCTCAGATCTCAGCCTCCTGAGTAGCTAGAATTACAGGTATGAGCCACCAGCGCCTGGCCCCATATTCTTTTTATACAACATCAAGAACTTGGTCCCTGGGGCTGGGAAGGTGGCTCAGTGGTAAGAATGCTTGCCTTGCATGCATGAGGCCCTGGGTTCGATTCCTCGGCACTACATAAGCAGAAAAAGCCAGAAGTGGCACTGTGTCTCAAGTGGTAGAACGCTAACCTTGAGCTGAAAAGCTCAGGGATGGCGCCCAGGCCCAGAATTCAGCCCCCACGACTGAAAAAAAAAAAAAAAAAGAAAGAAAGAAAAGATCTTGGTCCCCAAGGCAGAGATCTCCACCTTCCTGCAATCTTTGCCAGGAAGCATCTGTCATGAATGCAGTAACAATTTAACCTAAAAGAAATTATTAACCGTAAAAACAGGCTCAGAATTCGGATCTGTCTTTTCTTGTTCCTGTCTCCCCACCTGCAGGAAGAGGAATTCACTTGACTGCCATAAAGACCAGATTGCAGTTGAGCATAGTGGAGCATGCCTGTAATCCCACCACTCAAGGAGGCTAAGGACCATGTAAGTCCCAGGTCAGCCTGGGCTGCATAGCAAGACTGTCTCAGAAAGCAAGCAAGTGATGAATATAGACTGCAAATGCAGCCTTCCACCTCACCCTGAAATCCCATTTATTTGGGGCAAGAAGACTGAGGCATGTAATTAATGGATAGATTTCATGGCAGGATATCTGTCCCTTAGGCTTGCTCTACTATAGAGAAAGGAGTGTATGGACTTTGGAACAATCTTGAGCTAGTGGCTGGTCACACTCTTGTAATTATTTCCTTCCCATGTTAGTAAATTTTTATTTGTTAGTCAGGTGCCAGTGGCTCAGGCCTGTCATCCTAGCTACACAGGAGGCTGAAATCTGAGGATCACAGTTTGAAACCAGTCTAGGCAAGGCTCTTATCTTCAGTTAATCATCAAAAAGCCAGAAGTGGGGCAGTGGCTTAAATGGAAATGCACTAGCCTTGAGCAAATAAAGCTAAAGGACAGTGCCCAAGCCCTGAGTTCAAGCCCAGTACTGGCATACACACAATTGTATTTATCAACAATCTGTCAGTTTATTCCAGTGAACCTCCAGAGGGTAGATGGGAAATTCCTCTTAGCCCACACACCCCACTCAGCTTCCCAGGGCGGATAACAGGGTGGGGGTGGGGGATGAGAAATGCGTTTCATTCCCTGCCTCCTGCTGCTTGTTACTGCTTTACACTGAGCTCCTCGTGACCCGGATGAGTCTGCAGGCAAATGTTTGCTGAAAACATAAATCACACGGAATGGGGCTCTGGGAGTGTGGTGCGGTGGGAGAGCACTGGCCTAGCGTGTGTGAGGCCCAGGGGTCGATCCCCAGCCCTGTCAAGGAAATCTATTAAACATGGTTTTGGTGTTTTTTGTTTTTTGTATTTTTGCCGGTCCTGGTGCTTGAGTGCAGAGTCTGAGCACTGTCCTTGAGCCTCTCTGTGGTCAAGGCTAGCACTCTACCTCTTGAGCCACAGCACCACTTCTGACTTTTTGTTTATGTGATACTGAGGAATCAAACCCAGGGCTTCATGTATGTTAGGCTACCACTAAGACACATTCCCAGCCCCATATTAAACATGTTTAAAAGGCCATGTGATGTTACAAGCCAGTGGTCTCAGGCACTTGGGGGACAACGGGCAGAGTTAGGATGATCAAAGTTTGAAGTGGTTGGGTGCTAGTGGCTTATTCCTGTAATTTTAGCTACTCAGGAGGCTGAGATCTGAGGATCGAGGTTCAAAGCCAGCCCAGGCAGGAAAGTCTGTGAGACTCTTATCTCCAATTAACCACCAGAAAACCGGAAGTGGCGCTGTAGCTCAAGTGGTAGAGCACTCGCCTTGAGCTGAAGAGCTCAGGGACAGCGCCCAGACCCAGAGTTCAAGCCCATGATGACCAAAAAAAATCCCAAAAGTTTGAAGTGGACAGAGCTCATGACAGACTGAAAGCAAACAGTAAAACTGAAAGCAAGTAGACTAGGAACATGGCTCAAGTGTTAGAGAGACCCTCGGGACACCCCCCCAACACACAGATATACACACAAACACATACACAACACACAGAGACACACACACACATACACACATACAAAGCCAAGCAAAACATAAAATTCTCTTTCTTATTAGAACTAAAAATATCTGAATATGAATAGTAAACCTAAGAGAATGAAGATAAAACCCCCTACAGTGCTGGAATGTAGCTCAGTGGCAAAGCACTTGCCTAGCAAGTGCAACATCCTGGGTTCGGTCCCCAGTACTAAAAAGAAAGACAAAAACAAAACAAAAACAAGAACAGTTAAGACCTAAACAACTAAAACCACTGACAGTGTTAGAGGAGTGTGAATTGCTGCTTCTTTTTTCCTCATCTTTGTCTTCTTTTTTCCCAGAACAGGACTTGAACTCAGAGCCTGGGTGCTATCTCTCAGCTTTTTTGCTCAAGGATGGCTCTCTACCACGTAAACCACACCTCCACTTGTGGCTTCATGGTGGTTAATTGGAAATAAAGTTTCATGGATTTCCTACCAGGGTTGGTTTTGAACCTCAATTCTCATATCTCAGCCTCCAAAGTAGCTAGGATTACAGGCCTGAGCCATTGGCCCCACTACTTCTCTCTTAACTGTATCCTGATAGATATGTAGTCTCTGAAGAGAAATAGAACTAAGAGGAAACTGCGGTCCACAGTCGCCTCGCAAATTGGCAGAGTCTGAAAGGTTTGTGACCAAGCACAGTTGGTGATCAAAACAGGGACTTTTTTTTTTTTTTTGGTACTTCATCTGTCAAAAATCCCCTTTGACCGCTGAATTCTACCTCTAGGATTTTACCTTACAAAGATTTGTGTTCCCAGGCAAAAGGATGTAGGTGAAAGGTCATTTATAAGCCTGAAGTAAGTCATGTCAACATCCACAAGTGGGAAATGCTGGGTAAGCTATGATTCCTATCTGCACTGGGAGCCTCAGCCGCCATGAGCCAGTGAGGGGGTACTGGGGGATGATGTGGGAGAGAAAAAGGCCAACACTTCTCAGATTGTATACTGCCAGCTGTGTAAAGGGAGAGAGTGTGCATGCACACATGCACACACACACACATGCACATGGGCATGGAGGGGCCAGTGTGTGGAGCAAGGGGCACTCCTGCCAAAGAAGATGGCTTTGTCTTTGGCCCCAGTGCTGTTGACACTTTTTGTGCCTGGTTTTGATCTTTGGGGCTGCAACTTTGAAGAGTTCCCGGAGCTTGACCTCAGATTAAAACACAGTTTTCACTCGTAAGTCGTGGAACAGTTTCAGTCATTTGTGTTATATAGTCACAATTTTCAGAGGATTCCAAGATTTCCTCTCCCCCAGCTTAGGCCTTGTTCTAGGCCGGAAGCCAGGTTCTTTCCTCCCTCTGTCCCTCCCTTCTTCTCCCTCCCTGTTTCCCAGGCCTAGGCTCTTGGAGCAGCTCTTAAAGGTGCAGTGTGGGGTAGAGGTGAAAGAAAGGTCCCTTGGGACAAACTGATAAACTATGAATAAATATGAATTTATTAACACACAAAGGGAATCTTCTCAGGAATGTGTCTTTCTCCCTCCCATCCCCTTTCTGGCTTCCTTCCCTCTCTCGCTCCCTTCTTTTCCCCCAACCCTTGACCTTTCTTCTTCCATTAATCTCTACCCAGCATCTATTGGGTGTCAGGAGTATTCTTAGCTAGAGCAGTGACCAGGCATGACCCAGGATCTCAGGGGCTGACATTCCCTAGGGAAGGATCAGTCTGTCCCTGGTGCTGGATGTCCTGACAGAAGATAGAAGCGGCTGAGACCAGGCAGGCTTCAAAGGTGACTGGCAGGGCAGGGAATAGGAGGGGAAGGCTAGCTCTGGAGATGTCAGGGGGAAGTCTATAAGGTAACACAGAAGCAGACATTGGAGGGAAGTCTGAGGCCTGGCAATGAACGTTGAGGTGTGGCTTAGGAGGCTGGATAACCCAGGGGTACCACTCTTGGCTTATTGCTTTGTTGTTGTTATCTTCCTCCTCTCCCTCCTCCTTTCCCTCCTCCTCTCCCTCTTCTTTTTCCTCTGCTTTTTTTTTTTAATTTTATTCTTTTGTGTTTCTGTGTGCCAGGACTGGGGCTTGAACTCAGGGCCTGGGCACACTGTTCCTTAGCTTTTTTGCTAAAGGCTGGCTTTCTATCACTTGAGCCACTGCTCCACTTGTGGCTTTTTTTGGTGGTTAATTGGAAATTCAAGAGTCTCACAGACTTTCCTGCCCAGCGTGGTTTTGAACTATGATTCTCAGATGTCAACCTCCTGAGCAGCTAGGATTACAGGTGTGAGCCATCAATGCTAGATTGCTGTTGCTGTCTTGAACTTCTTGTGTTTGTTTTTCTTTCTGTTTTGGTCAGTCATAGGGCTTGAACTCAGGGCCTGGCCACTGTCCCTGAGCTCTTTTGTTTACAGTGTCACTTCTGGTTTTCTTGTGGTTAATTCGAGAAAAGAGTCTCATGGACTTTCCTGCCCTGGTTGGCTTTGAACTGGAATTGTCAGATCTCAGCCTCCTGAGTAGATAGGATTACAATTGCTTGGCTGGATTAAGTTTATTTGTAGAGTTATAGTTAACATTTTGTGGATTTTGTTGTACAAGTCTTGTACTGCTTTTGTATTAGTATTTTTTGTGATATATTGAAGGAAATACTAATAATTTATAGCCAGGAGCCTGTGGCTCATGCCTGTAATAATAGCTACTCAGAAGGCTGAGATCTAAGAATCATGGTTCAAAGCCAGCCAGGGCAGGAAAGTCTGTGACACTCTTATCTACAATTAATCACAGAAAAAGTTGGAAGTGGTGTTATAGCCCAAGTGGTAGAGTGCTAGCCTTGAACAAAAGGAGCTCAGGGAAAGTTCCCAGGCCCAGAGTTCAAGCTCCAGGACCAGCAAAAAACAAAGCAAGACAAAAAAAAACTATAGTTTACAGCATTTAATATTTTATTTTTGGCCAAGTGCTAGGCCTCTTGGGTAGCTAGGATTACAGGCATGAGCCACCAGCACCTGGCTTCAACTTCTTTTAAACAAATTCTATGTGTTTGTTTTGTACAGAGCCCCAGAACTTCAGCAGTGGGTCCTGTTTGGGGTAAAGGGAAGAAGGGACATCAGGCACAAAGGTCATGGGTGGGCAGTTGTTAGGTTTTTGTTGTTGTTATCATACCAGTACTGGGGCTTGGACTGAAGACCTCAAGCTCTTGCTTGGCATTTTCCTACTCATGCTGGTGTTCGACCGCTTGAGCCATCCCTGCAGCTCCAGATGCTGGCATCTTTGAGCCTGCAATGGACCTCAGCTTCTGCCCTTTGTGCTGTCACCCCCTGTGGGTCCCTCCTTCAGTGTGGCTGCCCGAGGGAGGGGGTGAAGATCCAGAGGCAGGAAAGTTCTGGTGTTTTCTGGATTGCTGCTTTAGGGAAAAGTGCCCAGATGTCTGGAAGGCCCACGGTTGGACCGAGTGAATCTGCTTTGGACAGGAGGCTTAGGCCTTCTCCAACATCTGCCAGACAGCACTGGAGGGCTGTCCCCAGGGCTTGACTGGAACACTGGTCTACTGTACTTAAGCCAGAAGCCCAGAAAGATCCCATAGTTTCCCAAAGAGCCCCAAGGCAGGAAGGTGGAGGGGTGCCAGGCTGGAGGTGGGGGTGGAGCTGGGTCAGTGTATGGTGCTGTCCACCATGACTAATGCTGAACGTAGGTAGGTGTGGTGGTGCTTCTGGGTCTTTGTGTCTGCACGCTGGAGGTTGGCACGGTGGAACATGGTGGAGTTTCTCTTCTAGCCAGTGGCTTCAGAATGACTCCCTGCTCTCAGGACAACACCAGTGGATGCTGTGTGGCCCCTGGGTGCACCAGCTGGCCCTCAGCCCAGTCCTGGCCTGGAGAAGCACACAGCCCACTCCCACCATAGTCCTCACCTCAAGGCTCCGGCTGCTCCTTCTGCTCCAGATTCTCAGGCAAGAGCCAGACATCCAACCATGGTCTCAGAGGGCAACTGGTCTCCTTGAGTCTTTTGTGGATCCCTGACTCCGGACCCACACTTGCCCTCCAATAAAGCCTAGCCTGTGATCTCTGCTCCTATCAGGTCCCCTGTGCCCAGCCCCACAGCCCGACAGCTCATTTACTAGACCGACCCAGAGCTCTCAGCCCTGCTCCAGACATGCTGTTTCCTGTGGCCAGAAAGTCACTTAAGGACACTCATCTCAGGAAGCCTCAAAGCTGTGAATCTCTCGTGAAAGTCCATTCACCTGCTTTGTAGTTTCAGCTACCTGTGAACCCGCTGAGACTGTGATCCCCAGCCAGGCTCCTGGGTTTGTAGGAGGCAAGAAGGCTTTAATAATGCAGCTTGGGACCCCTCCTCACAAGTCGGGTTATTGCCAGGTGCTGGTGGCTTACACTTGTAACCCTAACTGCCCAGCAGGCTGAGATCTGAGGATCACAGTTTGAAGCTAGCCCAGGCAGGAAATCCTGTGAAACTTTTATCTCCAGTGAAACACTAACAAAGCAGGAAGTGAAACTGTGGGCTCATATGGTAGAGCACTAGTCTTGAGCACAAAAGCTCAGGGACAGTGCCCAGGGCCTGAGTTCAAGCTCCAAGTACTGGCGCAAACACACACACACACACACACACACACATACACACACACATACACACTTCAGACTCAAAGTGGTAGAGGGCTAGCCTTGAGCAAAAGAGCTCAGGGACAGTGCTCAGGCCTGACTTCAAGCCCCACGACTGATAAAACAAAAACGAAAAAACAAAAAAAGTAACAAAATGCTGGTGAGCATACAGGGAGAAAGGAGCCTCGTACACTGTTGGTGGGCATGTACACTAGTGCAACTACGATGGAAATCAATACAGAGATTCCTCAAAAGACTAAAAATAGACCTTCATCATCACCCTGCCATATGACTACTGAGTATATGTCCAGTGGAGAATAAATCAATATAAAAAGAGACACTTGCATGCCCATGTTTATTGTGGCACTGTTCAAAATAGCCAAACTGTGGAATCAGCTGAAGGCCCCAACAACAGATGGCTGGATAAAGAAAATACGGTACAGGGGCTGGGAATCTGGCTTAGTGGTAGAATGCTTGCATAGCATGCATGAAGTCCTGGGTTCGATTCCTCAGTACCAAACAGAAAAAGCTGGAAGTGGCTTGTGGCTCAAGTAGTAGAGTGCTAGCCTTGAGCAAAAATAGCTCAGGGCCAGTGCCCAGGCCCTGAGTTCAAGCCCCAGGACTGGCACAAAAAAAAAAGAGAAAGAAAATATTGTACATACATACCATGAAATATTAGCCATAAGGAAAAATGAAAATATGCCATGCGCATGGAGTCTCTGGAAGCCATTCCTGTGGTCCCCAGCTCAGAGCCTTGATTCTGAGGCCTGTTGACACCTGTTAAGTGCTGGGCTTATTATGCCTGTCCAGGAATCCAGTCTCCCTGGAGACCTTGTTTCTCTGAGGCCTGAGCCTGGGATGGCAGCCAAGTGACTCACAGGATTCTGAGCTCAAAGGATTATGGGGGCCTGGGCTTCTGGAGTGGGAAGTTATTATCCTCACCCACTTGCCAGGGGGAAGTATCCTTGGTGCCCTGTCCTTGGAGCTGTCCTTGCCCTTCCTGGGAAGGAAAGGGGGAAAGAAGCTGGAACTGGGCAGGGCAGAGAAGAGAAGGAAGCCTTCGTTCTTGCCTCATTGGTCACTCCTTGGATCAAGTTCTGTGCAGCAGATAAGAGCTGGGCTTGGGTCCAAGTCTGCCTCTAATCCACCGGCTGGCCTTGGGAGAGTAGCACCCTGTGCCTCTGTTCTCATCCACAGACTGAGATAATGCAGAACAACCACAAGGACCGAGAGCCCAAAGGAGGGGCTTTGTAACGGGCCTGACAGGTAAGTAGCAAGTTCTCCATAACTGACACCTGTGCTAACGTTTTATTAATCAATTCCCTAAGACCCACAGTAAGTGAATTCCCTAATTCACAGTAAGTGACTGCTCTCCTGAGCCACGATTCCTGGTCAACATCCCGGAGGTAGGATCTAGGTTCATCCACAGTTGTGCGACAGGAGTTGTCATTCCTCCTCTGCAGGTCTGCTTTACTACCAGGGCCATCACACCTGCCAGAGAGGAATTCCAGGGGCTTATATGAGATACTACCAATCGGATTGCCACCTCTCTAGGCCTCAGTATACTAACTTATGAGTTAATTTTAGCCTTTCATAGCATTGTCAAAGAGGTCATCCCAGCAAGCATATTGCTTGGCACATAACTGTTGCTTTAAAAACAAATTCAAAGTCAGGCATCTGTGACTGATAATCCCAGCTACTCAAGAGGCTGAGATCTAAGAATCTAGGTTCAAAGCCAGTGTGGGAACACAAATCTAAGAGATTCATCTCCAAGGCCTGAATTAAGCCCTAGTACTGGTACAAAACTAAACCAAACCAAACCCAAGTTCAAGGAAATTGTTTCAGAATGAGGAGAGGGAGGAAGATTTAAAAAAAGGGGTGAGTTTGATATTTATAGACCTGTCACAATGAACCCTCCCCCGCTTTGTACAACTAAAGTCTGCTAATTAGAAAATCATGAAAAAATAAATTCAGAGCTGGACCCATGGCTCAAGTGGTAGAGCGCTTGCCTAGCATGTGAGAGGCCCTGGGTTCAATTCCCAGTACCACTAAATAAATCAATGAATAAATAAATAAGGAAAAAAAACAACAATAAATCCAGCATAGAGCAGGTATTCTAGAAATGGAAGCCAATTCAAGCCATCTTCCAAAGTACTTTTTTTGTGTGCAGTGATCCTGGAGGTACTACATTACCAGGTGGAGTGAGTGAAGCAAGCTCCTTTTCTATCTCCCTGCTCCAAAATTCCAGTTATTCTACCGTTCTGACCTGAGAGAGAATAAATCAGATGTTCAACGACAGGAACAGACTACACTCAATCTTAGCTAAAAGGCCGAGAACCGATGCCTTCCAAGTGTTTCACTCAGATAATAGTCTGCCTTCCCTGGGGCAGGCTGTGTTCCTTGTGTCTGCTTCAATTGTCTCTGCCCTCTCTGTTTTAAGTGAAGATCTCCTAGGCTGCTTTTGCTATCCACATGAGTAGTGAGGATGTAAGTAATTCCTTGTTTGTTTGTGTGTGTCAGTCATGGGGCCTGAACTCTGGGCCTGGGCGCTGTCCCTCAGCTCTTCAGCTCAAGGCTAACGCTCTACCACTTGAGCCACAGCGCTACTTCTGGCTGCTGAGGAATGGAACCCAGGGCCTCATGCATGCAAGGCAAGCGCTCTACCACTGAGCCACCTTCCCAGCCAGTAATTCTTTTATTATCAAACTCGGGATGTCAAGGGATCCCGGCTCAGTCTCCGAGCATCCGGGACTAGAGGTACGCACATCCTGCCTGATAGATTAACTGGTTTTGATTATTTATATATTCACTGCAACCCTTGTGTTCGAACCCGGTGAAGGGGTCGGGCTCTCGCTAGTGCGCTAGGATTGCACACCGCCTGGCAACAAGTGAGAGCCCCTCAGCGGCCAGAGAAGCGCGGCGCACAAAGAGCGCTCATCTCCGGGTTGG